TCGGGGATGTGATATCTGTGTAATCATAAATTTGGCCCACCCTGTATATAAGTGTTATAAAGGTTAGTAAACCAAAGCACGTATGGGGTCATTGAAGGTGATGAATCTAATGGTGGTGCCAGAGCGATATGTGGTTGGCTGTTTATCCGTGAATACCGAATTCGAGGGTGATCTTGTACTCATGAAGCGCACTGTAGGTGTACATTAATTGACCATCCATTATTCAACAGTATTTTTCAAACATTTCACTACTTTTTTATCGACACTTCGAAGCATTCCTCGAAAGAGATTACAGAATCCTATCCAGTGAGAGCTCTGCTCAGATGGGTTACTCGACCATCCTCTGCCGACAGCCAAGGGAACGGCCAAAAATTTTATGCCTTGGTGACCGAGGTAAAAGGGCTTTTCTGTTCGGTCAGTGATTACGAAGGAAAATGTTTTTCGGATACCACTCTCCTGTTCATGAAATGTGAGAAAACAGCGTAGACAGTATGAAGCGTTCTGCATGCTTTAGGACAATTTTGACAAAAAAGCAAATTGCGCACTTGCATCAAGAATACGAACCTTCATGCCGCTGATGAGCCCACCACTCCGCCAACTGCTGCACAGCGTTAAGTGCTCGGTTCGATTATCTGTTCGACTCAGTAGTGTAACTGTCCAAGAGATTTAGAACGTAGATTTAAAACCAGCATTCGATAAAACCTACGGCGTTACACTTTCATCTTGTATGGCCACTGTGATCAAGTATTCTTCCCTCGTCAGTCCCATACTGCTCTGAGTGTAGAACTAATGCTAATGATTTTCGACTTATGTGAGCAATACGTGATGCTTCCGTGACTAGAAGCCGAATCTGATGGCTCACTACCATCATACAGCTTAATGGTGGCAAGTTGTCTTTGGCATTGAGCAACTGAGTTAGAAGATTTATTTTCAACTACCACAGTTGTTATACATTTTATACAAATGAAGAAGACTCGTCGTTTAATAGCTTTAAGGCTCCAAAACAAACAAGGCTAGTGCGCTTAATTAGTAATTAGTAAGTGGCCATGTAGATCACGAATTAATTTCTATTTTTTTCTTTTCTAATACTTCAGAATCCTTTGGTCGCCTTGACGTAATCTTTTGTGAACGCCTCCAAATGCGGCGTAACGCTGTCGTCCAGATATTTGGCATGCTTTAAGTATAACAACAACACTTGATGAATATATAGATATTGATGTTCTGTCTGTAATTATTACGGTAGTGTTTTTGGAGATGAACTCTACTTCATTTGAATTGAAAGAATAGTTGAAGCATCGTAGAAAATCAGTTGAGCCGTCGTTCAAAAAATTGTTCGTGTTTGGCGAATCAGGAGTGGGTGATTCGCCAAGTATGAGCAATGTCTTACTGTACAAGGCCGACACTCTTCACTAATCGTCAACAATTTGCCCTTCACCCTTCCCTATGAGTGAACAGTAGTGCATACCCGGCCGAATAACGAAGTCGAGCGTGGCAGCAAAAAGCACTGCCACGTCAGAAAACACCACTTTACGCTAAACTGGTCACCTCAAGTATCGAATGTAAGGCAAAGATTGGTACACATGCCACGCACTGTACCGTAAAATCACTTCTAACGAATACTTAACCGTCAATGGGTACCTCCAATGAACACAGATTCCCGCTAAAGTCCAAGCATGAATTTCTTCTTACATTGATTGGAGTCCTGAAAACGGTGAGAGGCTCCCACTGGACTCAATGAAGGAGTAGCCAACACCGGGTTCACATTTGGTGAAGATTCCGTTTGACCGTGTTGGAAAGGCTCTTATCGCTTCGCTAGCCGCTGGATAGTGACCGAAAGTTTTGTCAAGTATGAACACAATCCGCGTATCTTCAGGAAATTCTCATTCCCCATTTTGACACCTAAAATGGTGCATGGAATTGACTAACCTGTATGCTATTATTCCTTTGCTTACGTAGGTCCTGTAAGTATCCACTGATTTCCAATAGAGGCTGATTTCGTTGTAGAAGTTCCAAAGCATGTTCGATGAGTACTATTGAGCCGGTTCGTCCTATTCCTGCGGAACAGTGGACGACTATTGGCGTTCTGAACAAGACGGCACAAAGCCTTATAGATTTCAGAGGTTTCGATAAAGTGGTTCCGCCAGAACTCACATGCTATCTTTTAGTTTACCAAGTAATGCTACTGGTGCCAAATCAGCCTCTGGAACACCTCTATCTGGCCAATCAAGCCAATGATAGTGTGAACAGCTATGAGGAGGCTGCCCAGGGACGGTCACTTCCAAGTGCGTGATTTGAACCCTTACATGAGTCTCGAATGGGAAAGGAAACTGAAATACATAGAAGTTAAGATTGTGGGAGCAAAATTTCTGATCGGATCGCAAAAATTCCGCCGTTAACGAACGGCACGCTTTCGCGTTAAGTGTGGCGAAAGGCTGCTTGTCTCATTCAGCAGCTAAAACTCAGCAGCCTCACCGAAGCGGAAATTCATGCTCTAATCTACCTGTCATCGTTCTGTTTTATTTCACTTACCATCTCTTGTCTTTTAAACGAAACATATACGTCGCCTTCAAAGGCCAAAGGGGGTCCATCTTGGGTGGGAAAGTACTCCGCACACTTTTTAGCATTCTAAACATTCGACATGTAAGATGGTGATGTGGACAAAACTCTTGAAAACAGCTCCTAACCACGAGGTGGGTGAGTTTTCAAACTCATCTCCTAATCTGGGAGCTTTTGACCCTGAATGAACAAAGGATAAGGATAAGGTATCGGGGCGTTAGCACGTCTGAGGGATGCGCCCACCCATTCGGGTTTTACTCAGAATCGTAATGGCGTATTGATTGCATGTGGTCCTACAATGACCTGTGGTGGCCAGCCGATGTACAAGCCAGTGCTTTTATCCTCCTAGACGAGTCTGGTACCTGTTAGCCGACCTCGGAAGAATGGAAGGTTGGTTGACCTAGACGGATAGCGATCCGAGATTCGAACCCATGTTACCGTGCGTGTGACATAGTGCGCGACCCACTACACCAGTTCCGCGCATCCCTGATGATGAAGTTAGCTCACAAGGGAAGGATACTTGGTTGCAGTGGCCGTTCAAGTTGAGATGTATACCCCTGTGGGTGGTTTCGAACGCTGATCTCAAACCTGTGTTTCTAATCTGCGAAACGATTCTTGGAACAAAGTTACGGGCCTCCCTATGTTATACCACTGCACTAAACGGTTCACCGAGCACTAAACGGTTCACCGAGCCGAGCAAAACCTTTTTCTGTGCAACGGTGACCTAGCATGTAGTGTGGTGGACTAGTAGGCAGGGTGACATCAAGGTTTGATTCCTCGATGCATGCGCTTGCTTTGCTTTTCCATAAAAAGCCTTCCATACGCTTGCAAAACGTTTTTGGGCTCAATGTTGGGCATCTACAGGGCTCTTCGAACGTGAGAAGCAAGCGAACCGATCAGCCTACCTGTGGAGATTCGCCGATAAGTTGGAAGGATAAGCTGTCATAAAACTAATATAGGAGTCACATTGCACGACAGTCATTTCCACTGGATACCGCTTCGAGTCAACAATGAAGGCCCATGAGAGGCAATTTCAACGCAAGTCGTAGGTGGATTCAGGGTTTTGAGTCAGCCGTGGTATCATGCCCCACCGCACCACCACACTTATCCCATGGAAGGAATTGAAATTGCGTTTACCTCAAGGATAGAATCAGCGGATAATCATATGTACACACAAAGCGATAAACTATTGTCCTACAATAATGCCAGTCAGCTTGGACCACCGCTTCGAAAGCGCGGACAGTATTCCTAGAATGTACGGACCGTACCCCTCCCAAAGAGGATTGTACTCGGATTAGTCATTCGACCGCCGTCTCCCGTAAGTGCAGAGAGCTGCCGAAGATTTCGAAACACCATCTTGACTGTT